GTGGCTGGGACTTCGTTGATCTCCGGAACGCTGCTTCACGAAATCTTTCTTCTTCTTCTTCTTCTTCGTCTTCGGGGTACTTCTGAGCTTCACTGTTCCCACTCTTGACAAGGGAATCACTAGCGTGACGGTAAGGCTCTCATATCGTGGGCCAGAGTTCCGTGTCCGGGGAGTGGTACCGTTCGTGTATACACTGTTCTTCTTAAGTGGTCATCAAGCGAGCTGCACCACCATTTGTGAGACGGAGAGTCACAGCAAAGATGAATACTAAGGCTGTGAACCATTTGCCGAGTTAAATTTAACTCGTGGTTAAAAGTGACATTTCGAAAGTTATTTTCTATGTTCGAAAATCCCCGTGCTGTTGATCGATCGGTTTTCGAGCCACAGTTGTCAAAATTTAACTTCTTGTCTGTCAGAAGTAACCACGCTCGGATAGCAGGGTTAATCGATAACTTTCCATCTGTCAAATTTTAAACTTTAAGATAAAACTGTCGGAAGAAAAACTTTCTATTTAGTGTCTTCTTTCACGGTCCCTTTCATCCAATGAGAACCCCCCGTATTCAAGGTAATTTTGTGGTTTTGCTGCCCCCTCGGAAGAGATGAAATTTTGCGCTCATTTTTATCAAAACAATCACACCAAAATCAGAGATGTCCCATTTTTTAATTACTCGATTAACAACTAATCGATTATTTTTTGTTCGCTGTGCTGCCATTTTTCCACCAATGAGAGTGCAGCACATGTTTGAAACGATCGGTGATGATCCTGTGGAGATGTTAATGCTTATATCGGCATGATCTAACCGATTATAAATAGTTTACTTTTCGGTTCGTTAATCGATTAAACGATTATTCGAATGAAAATCGGACATCACTAGATGAATGTGAAACGTCATTTCAAATATAAGGCCGTTCATAAATAATGATACAATTTGAAAGGGACCGGGGCTAATCACAAATTACGTCTCCATGGTAACTGAATTAAACACGAGTGTTCACCGGTTGGTCACAGTCTTTACGCAATACCACTATTTTCACTGTCCGCTCGACCACTGTACATTGTTCACTTCAACTGCAGTTTTTTAAATGTTCACCACTAGCTCGCTTGATCTATTCGCACGTTAACCAAAGATGAATACTAAGATGAAACTGTCGGAAGAAAAACTTCCTATTTTAGTGTCCTCTTTCACGGTCCCTTTCCAATGAATACCCCCCGTATTCAAGGTAATTTTGTGGTTTTCCTGCCCCCTCGGAAGAGATGAAGTTTTGCGCTCATTTTTATCAAAACAATCACACCAAAATCAAGGATGTCCCATTTTTTAATAACTCGATTAACAACTAATCGATTTTTTTTGTTCGCTGTGCTGCCATTTTTTCACCAATTAGAGTGCAGCACATGTTTGAAACGATCAGTGATGATCCTGTGGAGATGTTAATGCTTATATCGGAATGTTATAATCGATTACAAATAGTTTACTTTTCGGTTCGTTAATCGATTAAACGATTATTCGAATGAAAATCGGCCATCACTAGATGAATGTGAAACGTCATTTCAAATATAAGGACCGTTCATAAATAATGATACAATTTGAAAGGGACCGGGGCTAATCACAAATTACGTCCCCACGGTAACTGAAATAAATACGAGTGTTCACCGGTTGCGTTAACGGTAAATGCGGTAGAGCGCGGCTAAGACACTCAAACACTATACAAAGCGGAGACAGACATTTATTTGACATTCGAGCACCAGGGAAATCTTAACCGACACAAAACATAAAGATTTACAATTTTTCAGTGTGTCTAAACCTCCAACTGGCCTTTCCACCAAACAATTTATTGTGACCTGAAAGTCGTCGGTCACAACTTGTATTTCATTTCACGCAACTTGTAAACAATATTGTTTGCAAAGATGGGTCTTTTGTATACAATATTTGCTACATTGCATGAAATGTGTCAGAACTTTATATGATATGTAATGTAAACGTATATAATATGTGACGCTCTATTTATGTGCATCATATTTAACAGAAATTTACTCTACTTTTTCGAACTGTGTTGATGCGAGAAATGAAAGAATTTTTTTTCGAAGTGTGATATTTGTTGAGCATCTAAAATTGAGATTTACATGTGTCGCTCGCTCGAAATACACTTCCAAGTTTGTTTTTTGGCTAAGTCTATTCCTCAGAAAAATAATTTTTTGGCGTTGTTTAAAAAAACAATGTTAGGTACACAGCAAAAAAAAATGTAATATCGATCAACGTAATTCAAACTGATGTATGAAATAATGATGTAATAGCAAAAAGCAGATACAATATTACATCAATGGATGTAATTTTGTTCGCAAAATCGATGTACATCGTACAATGTGATATTGCACAACCGATAGATTGACCTGGTTGCAGCAGTTTCGATGTAATATTCAACAACTTTTTTTGCTGTGTAGGGGAAATGGATGTAATGTCGGCCTAAATGCCCCTAATTTGGGCCATACATTAATTCAGCAATCGACTAAATTTTCAATAGTGACCAAAAATATCCATTAGTACCGTCCCAATGACGCGTTCATCTACACTAATAAAATTCAACACATTTTTATTGACGAATTTCCATGTAAAATTCCACATGATTCTCATGTGACCACACATAAACAGAATCCACCCAGAAGCACACATGAAATTAATGAGTCAAATGAACAGTATGTGTGGTTACACATGATTTTTATGTGTACACATATTAAGTATGTGTCCGAAACATTGATATCATATTTGTTGATCACATTGCAAAAATTCATGTGTGGGACACATAAAAACTAAACAGACGGAATTGAGTAAAGAGGTGACATCTTATCCATTTGACAGGTCTTCTGCTCGATTGGAATCAAGGTGACTACATATAGGTGTTCTAATCTGTCAAATTCATGATTAAGCCATGTTGGATTTTTGTATGGGACAGCGACCGAGTTTGCTTACAATTTGCTCTAAAACCGCATTTTTTCCCCCGCGACCTCCTCGCTTATATAGTGACAAAGCTGTATCACCATTTATATACCCACCATGATTGGAATAACTTTTCCTATGACTTTGACAGATAATCGATTGTCCCAATTTTGACATGTCGTCTCTTTAATAAAAACAATATTTAAAATTATATCAGTGTAGATAAAACATTTCTATAGATTAGAAATAGATTAGACACGAACCAACTCATAAATTTTGTACGCGTGTTCGTGGCTAGGATAAATACACAAACGAAGTGACAGACGAATAACTGGCGAAGAAATCAATTAAAATAATGTGGTTCGCTGTAATAGAATTTTCTTAGAAGCTTGTGCCATCAGTCACCAGATGGGCTAGTATTTTTGTTTTGATTTGAACATAGTTGATTTTGTGTGCAATATGATCTTTGACAGTGTGCAAAGAGTGTATCATTTTGTCATTTTTTTATGCATTTCAGTTTAGAGTAGAGTGAAAAAGATAGAACCAAAACATTCTAGTACATTTAGTGTTGCCATGTGGTACAATCGTACAATCCAGTAGTAGTGGTGTTGCCATATGGTACACTGAAAAATTGCAATAGCAGGTGCGTCACCAAAGTTTTCGAGCCGCTCCGTCTGTCACTTCGGTTTTGCTATAAGTGTGTAGGGACTAGGGAGAGGGGGTCGAAAATCTCTCAAAAACTGTGGTTTGTGCCCGTCATAAGCTGCATCAGGTCTGCGACAACTGATGTTTATGGTATGCAGATAGCTCGTGCTTAGGCTGTGAACCATTTGCCGAGTTAAATTTAACTTGTGGTTTTAACTCACATTTCGAAAGTTATTTTCTATGTTCGAAAATTCCTGTGCTGTCGACCGACCGGTTTTCGAGAAGAACTTAGCCAAGGTTGTCATACACGAAACGAAAATCAATTATTTTATTCATGTGTTTCACTTATACATTTTTGCCAAACATCAGCCTTTTACATTCCATAAGACAAACCACATAGGTCCTATAAGAATGCATAAAAGGTATGTGTGACCGCTTATACATTTCATTTGACACATGATCTTCATTAACTTTTTGCAAGGCGTCTGCTTATTAGTTGACTTATACATTTTATGAATAATCAATAATAGAAATTTGCCAAAAGGTATAAGGAGATTTCTATCCGTGTAGCACGGTTAGCACGGATCGGATAGCACGGATCGGATAGCACGGTTAATCGATAACTTTCCATCTGTCAAATTTTAGCCAAAAGTTAAAATAATCCATCAAATGATTCAGAACCTTACCCAACTAACAATTTTAGCTGCAACTCAGCTTATACAGGCAAAAATTAGCTGCATAAGGCAAATTTTGGCAGTATAAGGTAATCTGCAGCTAAAATTGTTTGTTGGGTAGTGGCTTGGATCTCAAATGCTGTGCACCATCGTCGATGTCATCGAAAATTCAAATGGCGATATCAACATAAATTCGAGAGCTCATTTTGGGTGAAAGCCCAGAAAGGTAAACATCGAAAACAAGAGTTTATTATTATGAATTTATCCTATCAACCCGCCTCATATATGAGAACAACCGTGGCACAGTGAGATCGAACGAAAACTCCAGCAGCAGCACACCCCAACAGTCCATGATCGAATCGCAAATCAGACCCATTAAGAAGATATGTGAAAGCTCTGGCCTCTGGCAGTTGTGTTTATATATTTGTCGATTCGTTTTAGAATCGGTAAAGTAGAAGTCGATAAAGGAGAATATTGTAGAATATTGAACTATTATGTGTTAAGCTATTGATATCACCAAATGAGGCACATAGAATCCAAGTGTGTCACAATTCAAATCCATAGTGTTCAGGCATGATTCATAGCATAAGATTCACACATGAAATGGATGTGTTTCACAATAAGCGCAAAATTAAGTGTGAGACACATGATGATGACGTTTGGAATTTTTTGAGTGCAGGATATACATTAAGGACCATGGGTGAATAGTGAAAAATATCAGTGATATTGAAATTAAAACGACCCTGAATGAGAGATATGGCTTTGGTTTTATTTTTTCCTATGACATCAGAGAAGAATTAAAATAGTTTCAATATTTCACAGTTACTCATTTTCGTCGATTCACTTGTCATTAGACAACGATCGCTTGTTGAACTTAAAACTACGCACCCGCTGTTTTGCACCACTGGAACTGAACAGCTTGAAAAGGCTGGAATGTGACGATTCACCACTGTCTACCATAGTGATAATCGGTGACAGCGGCTTCGGTGACATGTTCGTATGATGAGCACTGTTAAACAGTGAAAACGATTTACTAATAGGACGATTCCAGGAGGCTGTCCGTGGGGTTCCACCAGGCAGAGAAGAGTTTGGACTAGAGACATGTTTGCAGTGTTGATTGTTGTTGTTGACGGTATCGACTAGATCGAAGCTGCGGTGGTTCGCACAATCACCGGCACCACCACCACCACCACCACAGTTGACGCTATTATTGTTGGTGCTGTTTCGCGACATGTGCTTAGCGAGTATTCGAGTAGGGGAATGGTCCTCTATTAGGTAGACAGAATCGGTCATCGATTGCATAGCAATGCTAGCGTCCTGCAGAATGCAGCACGTGCTTCGGCTTCTACGTTTAGAGGTTACAATATTGTACAAGGAGCTTATGTTTCTATCTTCTTCGATCGGCCGAGATGGAAAGTCCAGCGTCTCATCAGGACATTCGTTTTCTATTGCATCCGCATTAAAATCCGTCCCAATGTCTTCTAAATTTACTTCCAAGGACGCTTGGTCTACACTCTCGTTATTTTCAACCTGCTGTTCTTCGGAATCGCTACAAATCAGTACCAGTCCTCCTCGATCTTCATCTTCGAGGGATTTTCGATGGCCGCTATCTTCGTTGATACTGGACACCTCAGCTATGCCCCACATTCTGAAAGTACCTCGATGGCCATCTCCCATTCTCGGTTCGTACCGCTGTGGAGAAGAACAGTTGGATTCGACCGGGCTGGCACTGATGGCCGAAGTGCTGATTACAACGTTCGGTGATCCGGGATCCGACCGGGTGGTACTGATTAGTCGCTTTTTGTTCAAACTGTTGAATGAGGCTCCGCATTCCGAATGCTCCAGGGAACGTGGCTGTAGCAGCTCTGACTGTTGCCGGCGCAGTTGCTGTTGCGCGCGAAAGTAGACGGGAGAATCTGTAATTGAACGATAGGGTAGCGTAAGTAGATGGGTTTCATTACATATATGTATCTGAGCCTGAGCTGGATCGAACTGAGTGCTGCGTTTTAGGGTGCGTAATTTGGTTTGATGGTTAACACAACTGTAAGATTTTATGCATTATTATACGTTGTAGAGACCAAACAAAACAGTTTTAGTATACCGGACGATGCTTTTGTTTTCTCTTTAATTCGTTGATTAATTTTATAATTCGGGATTTTGATAATTGAAATCTTAGAGGTTAATAAAATCTTTATCCCACTACTCTTCAATATGGATGGAAGGACATCCGGAATCTTTCAATCTACAAAAAGAGCGATAAGTTTGATTGTTGCGGGCTGCCTACAACAAAATGCCGCTGTCTATCATCGATAGCAAGATAGTTCGTGGGACAACACCGTCAAACCGACATTAATGATCATACAAATTAATAAAAAATTTCTGATCAAAGCACAAAACGGACATCTGCCACGTTCGTGGAAAATATTTATCCTAGCCACGACCTCGCGTACAAAATTTATGAGTTGGTTCGTGTCTAATCTATTTGGGGATTGAACTAGCATTTTCACCAAATGTACTAGAATGTTTTGGTTCTATCTTTTTCACTCTACTCAAAACTGAAATGCATAAAAAATGACAAAATGATACACTCTTTGCACACTGTCACCCAACTAACAATTTTCGCAATGTAACCGCTTTACTCATTTCATTTCTACAGCCTCAAACTGTATTCAAATGTTATACGATATGAGGAAACCTTTACTCAACTTCTACACAGCAAAAAAATAATTTTGATATCACATCAAAGTGGATGCACTACAATCATGTCGAAAATTTCATGTAATTTTTATGACCACATAAATAAACAAATGCAGTAAAAGCAGCGTAATGTCAGTTCATGCATTGTATTAATGATAATTTTGTCCTTTTTAGCAAGTAATATTACACCATATTTTCGACATGATTGTAGTGCATCCACTTTGACGTGATATCAAAATTATTTTTTTGCTGTGTATACAAGCAGATTTGGCGAACTTAGTCAGCTACTTATGGCTGTTGTGACGGTTGGGACAAGCTCTTATTGCATATCTATTTACGCTTCTATACAGTTGTTATCCTGCTGTTTAAGTTGTGTGTGAACTTGAAAGGCGCTTACTCAACCTTTAACCGATTATCCAATAATCACTACACAGCTTTCTCTTGACGCCAGGCTAAATATTGTTCACGTTTTTTTTTTGTGTTGGAGGAATTAATCATGTTTATTTTACTGCGAACCAATTAATCGAAATTAGTTATAAGCACACCACCATTTACACTGTACCGGAACCTGGAATCGAACTCGAGACGACCGCATTTGCGAACCTTGATACTACCAACTTCGCTACGCCAACACTTTGAACTGACGTAAACCAAAATAGATGCCCTTCTACAACACGATCGCTGAGTAGAGGCTTTAAAATAGTGCACATGAATCACTTTTCTCAACTAGTTAATTCAACTTTGTAAAGGAGCGGAGTAAAAGCTGTGAAACTGCACACGTCTAAAAATAAACCTAGTTGACTGTAAAAATACATCCAAAGTAGCGCTAACACAGTTTATTAGTTGAATACAGGTTGTTCCGTTGTTGAAAAGGCACTTATGTTGTTTATGCTATTCAGCAAGAGTGGGTGGGTGTGTAGAAGCCATCAAGTAAGTAATATATTCGCTTTATTAGCATTGTTTTAAAGCTACAAGTTGAAAGTTGATTAATATTTGCATAGAAGTGACATTAGCGTTTATTGGGTGATGATAATCAGTGCGACTGAGAAATTGAATGATGGTTGTGAAAAAGTTTAGTAAACGCTCTCTAAAACTTTTTTGCTAGCTTCTGCTTGTAGCTGTATCTGCAGCTTTGTTTCAGCTACGTTACAGCACAACGCTAGAAAAGTTGGCTTATAAAGCTGAAAATGTTGTCTATTACAGCGAACCACATTATTTTAATTGATTTCTTCACCAGTTAGTCGTCTGTCACTTCGTTTGTGCTATAAGATAGTGTATTCATGGTCACTTGTGGTTTGGAGTTACTATAGAAGCAAGCGATCAACGAACTGAATGATGACGCTATGTCAGAAGTGGAAAGCAATAATGATATAATCTTCCTCCTTTTTTGTCGTGACAGGCAGCCCGTGCGACACAGCTCACTCGGGGTTGTAGAAGGAAACGAGCAAATTGTTGGAAAGCTGCTTCACGAAGTAAAGCCGAAGATGATACACGTGTGTTAAGGTGATACTCTAAGGAAGCCTTAGCGTGAAACTTCAAAGGCACAAATGTCAGCTTCCACAAAACATACTGTGCTACTACAAACAGAGAGTAGCAATTTCAAATTTGTATATTTTGTGAAAGCTGACATTTGTGCCTTTGAAATTTCACACTAAGGCTTCCTTAGAGTATCACCTTAATGGGATTTTTTTTGTTATGTCTTTTCTCGATTCAGATCAAGCTATGTCCTCATCCGTGTATATTGCAAAAATCAGTGTCAACATCACATAAAGCAATCAACGATACAGATAAAACGGTTTCTATGACTACCATAACAAACTCGCTCTGTAACATAGCTCGATCGGAGTGGTAGAAGGATACTGATATATTGCTTGTCTGCATTTCAGTGTCAACATTTCAAAGGGGCGTAATTGCTTTTGTAAACAATGGCTTTGGCCGTCGATTTCTCGCGAATAAAAGCTCACACATGAAAATTAATAAAACCAACAAGTAGAAGAATGTTTCCTCCACCAGCTAGCATTGTTAATTTGGAGGGGTGAGCTTTAATTCGCGAGAAATCGACGGTTAAAGCCATTGTTTACAAAAGCAATTACGCCCCTTTGAAATGTTGACACTGAAATGCAGACAAGCAATATATCAGTATCCTTCTACCACTCCGATCGAGCTATGTTACAGAGCGAGTTTGTTATGGTAGTCATAGAAACCGTTTTATCTGTATCGTTGATTGCTTTATGTGTTTGGATTCGCTGTATAGAAGTATACAATGTGACCATGAAGCTATAAAACATCTAAACGCATAATTTTATATTATTTGCACCTGTGTTGCGCACAAGTTGCGCATGTAACGGCGTCGCCGCTGAAGAAAAAAAATGCGACGTTATTTTCATTCGCACATTCAACTTTATAGATCCAGAGCGGATTAATCTACAGCAACAAATTAATTTTAACAAAATAAGAGACTGGAAATGCTTTATTATTATTCTGGAATATGCATAGTTTTTACAAATTTTAAATTCGAACAATTTTATTAAATTCTGGACCTAAAAGTTATAATACTTCAAAATATTTTCATGAATGTGCAAATTTTCATTACGTCGAAAGTAATAAAGGTAAACGAAGTCGAGCTATCAGTGTCAATCGATGCTCCTGCTATTACATTATATACTGTTCGAATATAGGATCACATCCCATTTTAAATTTATTTACCAGTCAAATTGCTTTTTGACGTAATCACCTTCCGATCAAAATAGTTTTCGATGTTACTTAAGTCACCCGATTTCTATGGAGATGCCGTTTGCCTTAAGTAACAGCGCTGAGAAACCCGTGAAAAGTGTACGTTCGTCGTTTCGCTTTCTCATTATTAAAGTGAATAAATCGAACAGTTTGTTGCTAAGATGATTTCGGTGGTCCTAAAATGATGAATGGGCTGCACGTAGGGAGACGTAATTGATAATTCTCCCGAATATCCTGGTAAATACACTTTGACTTAAGTAACAGTAGTGGTTAACCTTAAAATTACAATTAAATCTGGAAATAACTCCAGGAGATCTTCAAAGCTATTCCGAAAAGAATTCCAGGAAAGTTTACAAAACAAATTATTAGGAGCAATGCAAATGAATTCTTAGGAGCCTCTCAATGTGCATAGAATTAATCACTTCATTCGAGCAGTTCAAATGACGTTTACTACCGCTCGAACCTTGAAATAAAACATCATTTTGAGATTTTTTCTTCTAGAACCACGAGAAAACTAGCCAACATTTGTGCGTTTCATAAAAAAAATAGAAAATAGTTGGTCCAGTTTTGTGAAATTGCTGGTAGAAAGTCACGCCGAAACTGCTTTCAGGTTCAAAAGGAAATCTGAAATGAATTCAATGAAAATTTTGAGAATCTTTCGAACGGATTTCTTACGGAGGAGAATTTCAAGCTAATTGGCGTTGACGGCGACTCTGTAGCTCTTTACTCCTATGAGAAAATCCATAAACAAACGTCAGACTGTGCGTGAAACGTGGCGGACTTTGTACTATCCTTTCACTCCACCGAAAATTCCCATAAGAAACTGTCTATATTTGCTGGAAGAGCAAATTTTTCGACGGTTCCGTCAACGCCAATTTCGAGGAAAATTCAAAGTAAATTGAAAGCTACACACTTAGAAAAATTCATGTAAATTTAGGTGATCTGAGACTGACGGACTGACGTATACGAGCGTCAATTTTGACATAAAATGTGAAATTCAGCTCAATCAAACGTTCTTTTCGTTGAGTAACGATTTTTTTTTTCAGTCTCGGAGCACTTAATTTTACATGGCATGTTTGTTTAAGTCTCATCCTTTATGTGAAAAATGGATTTCGTCACTTGTAAAATTAAATATTTCTAAGCGTGTAGTTCTAACCAAATTTTGAGGAATATTTCAATGGAATTGATTGCGAGATCGGAGTATATTCTGGTGATTCTTTTTAGAGAATTCAGAGAAGCGTTTCAAGTAAATTTCTACACTAATAAAATTCCACACATTTCTATTGACGAATTTCCATGTGAGATTCCACATGATTTTCATGTGACCACACATAAACAGAACCCACTCAGAAGTATGCATGACATTTATGCATCAAATGAATAGTATGTGTGGTCACACAAGGCTTTTATGTGTACACATGTTAAGTACACACTTTTTTTTCTCTGTTCGGGACCTAACACTACTGCGACCAGTAAATTGATCTAT